AGGCAGAGGTGCCTTGCCCCTCAGTGTGCACAAAACTATTTGGAAGAAGACCAAAGCATATAGAGAGAGGGGTGCAGACCTCTCAGTGTTTAGTTATTATGCCCCGTCTAGGGAGTCTTCCAAGGGCAACTCCATGTCTATTCCGAATGAGCAAGCAGTTGCACAGTCCATGCCACATGGGCGATCTGAGCCTTTAGATGTGGCTTCATCATCTCACATCACTTTCGAGGGTTTGAAAAGTGCTAGCTAAGCTTATGAGCCAGCTGCTCCAGAGTCCATTGCGCAGGATGTTCCATATGATGGAAAAGGGGAGAAGGTACATCCACTAGGGTTGAGCGGACAAAGAAGAAGAAAGCATGAGAATACAGATTTGTGAGTTTGGCTGCTTTCACTAATTTCCGGATGTGGTGGCCGGAGAGATCATTGACACTGACACATAAGAGGCAATTTCTGTTGAGGGATCTTGATAGATACATCCTTGTAGTGTTGAGGCAATTTATATCGAGAAAGGGATGGATGTTGTTTACTGAGAAGGTCGTAGATGTCAACGAGCACCTTGTCTGCGAGTTCTATGCCAATATTTCACACATTCTCATGGGGACAAAGGTGACCAAAGTACACAAATATAAGGTGAAGTTTGATCAGCACACTGAACGCGTACTTGGGTTTTGAGGACTTGGACCCAAAGGAGTACCTAGAGAGTTCGCCTTGAAAGAAGAGGCCTGGTCGGGGAGTGCTGAGATCTTAGCACCGGGACCACCTCCACCACGGATCACTACTGGGGTACCTATTCAGCGGAGTATATTGAGCTTTGAGGCAAAAGTTTGGCAAACCTTTGTATGTAGCAGGCTTGACCCATGCCAGAATGAGAACAACTTGCATGTTCCACGTGTATTTCTAGTGGCTTCTATCATGGCTGGGTACCCGATCAATGCAGGTGCCTTAATGTCGGCCAACATCTCTTTAGTAGTGTATCAGACTAACACAGCTTACCCTTACCCCAACACTATTATAGAGTACCTCACTGATTCAAAGGTAGAGCCAAAGCTATTTTATACGAAGGTGAAGCCAAAAAAGCCGTTTGAGTGGTACTCATTGTAGGATCCGACCAACCTGAAGAAGAGTGCTCAACCTTCTACTACTACATGTCAGTCTGATGAGCCGATAGTGGTAGTTTTGACACAGCTGATATTCCATCCACAACAGCTGAGCCTTCTACCAGTGTAGCAGATATACCTCCGCCACCATCTTCAGCTCCGTCCACAACTCATCCCACAGCTCCTAGGGCAGTACCTACTCCGGTTCTGAGGTCGATGCCCATGCTTACATGCCTACTTTCTACTTTGCAAGTCTCCCAGAAATTTGTGAGTCTCAACAACTGGATGCAGACAACTACTTCAAAGCTATTTTGAGATATCTAGTACTAGTTGCAGGGTAGTCATCCACACAGTCACCGCGGGATTCTACTGAGCTTGATGAGAAGCTGCACAAGATTCTGGACAACCAGAAGTTGATCATGGACACTCTGGTGTCACACCTCCTTTTTACTACCACCGGAAAGGTAGAGTTTTTTCAATTTAAGTGACAATCGAAACATGATTATTTTTGTTTATTCAGAGTCCCCACTTGGGATAATTTATGGTGTCTCAAGTCACCGGTTCAAATCTCGAATCGAGGAAAGATTGACTCTATTTTATAGTCCGCGAACACATAAATCCGGGTAAGGAATTTTGTTAACCCGGGAGAAGGTGTTAGGCATTTCCGGGTTCCGTGGTTCTAGCACGGTCGCTCAACTATTATTATTGGCCTAATTATCTGATTGATCACATGTTTTAGCCTATGGTAGATTTTAATTTATTAACCGCTGTGAGTACGTGATTTTTGCCCTATATGAATTACTCCCATAAATTCAAATCAAAATAATTTTCCCATTATTTACAAATTCGTAGATTTTTGTAGCATTTTTGATTAATTGTTTGAATTTTGTCTGTGCGTGTTCATTTTATTTAATTAATAAAAAATACAAAATATGTGCATTTGCATTTAGGATTAATTAATTAATTAGTTGTTTTATAAAAATGAAAAAAAATCACAAAAATAGTTTAGTTTGCATTTTTTTAATTTTAGTTTTGAATTTTGATAGTCTTTCCTTTAATTTGATTTTTTTAATTAATTGTGGTAATTATTAATTAGAGTCAATTAATTCAATGTGGTAGGATTAACTTGATTTAGGATTTAGTTTAGGTTTTATTTTAATTTTGAGAAAAAGAAAAAGAAAAAGAATTTTGAAATAATTAGAAAGGGAAAGGAAGTGGAAAATTCAGATTTTGGGCCTTCTTAATCATAAATACCACAAGCCCAATTCAATTCTCCAATACCCGTCCAAAACCAGCCCATTTCGACCCTGACCCGGTCCGATTTCCCCTCATTTATCCAAACGACCCCGTTTTAATGACCCTGCGATCTAGGCCGTTGATTGCATTTGATCTAACGGTCCGGAAGTAGGTTCTGATTAGTATAATACTGTCTGAATCCTCCCCCCATCTCATTTCACAGACCTCATTGTCCCCAAACTGAAACCCTAGCAACGCCGCCCTAATTTCCATCGTTTGTCGCCGGTGGCGCTGTTCCCAAACTAACACCCTACAACCCCCATGATCCCCTCATACCAAATCCACAACTACTTTCCTTCAAATCTGTCGGGAGCTCCGCGAATCTGGAATCCAAGTTCAACCCCCACCCAAAATCACTTCCCGAAAAGGGAACAGGAACGAGGGATACACCAGGAATGTTGGAAGAATGGACAAAGTGAGGGCTTGTGGGATCAGGGAAGAAGGTATCAGTGTTACTCATATCTACTTCACAGAGAAAGGAATATCAGGTCGAGAATAACAATGAAAAAGAGAATTGTTTCAATTTCTCAACACAACTATTCAACACACTAGATTTTCACCAAAAAACACATGCAAAATCCCTAACTATAAGTGAGAACAGATTTACCCTACTTCTTCGCTACCGGAGAAGAACGACCTTCAAAATCAGTCGAAACCCTAGCTCCGAGTGACAGAAACCCAGAAGTTGTAGATCGCCGAAATCAAGCTCAAAAACGTCGAAATTTCACCCAAAACGCTGAGCTGAGAAGTCTATCGACAGATGCTTTCCTCGTGTGAACCAAAAGCTTCGATTCACCAAATATTCAACACAAGAGGGGCACAGTTCTTTTACTTTCCTCGTGTGAACCAAAAGCTTCGATTCACCAACCACCAGGGAATAAAAACTCAACGAAACCAAACCGGGGTAAGATCGGACGAAAGATCGAGGAGAGACGTCCCAAAATCTCAGCTCTGATACCATGAAAACATTGTAAATCTAATGGAGAGACGGAAATCACATTAGGGTTCTATATCTATGAGAGAGAGAGAGAAAGAGTTCTTTCATTGCAACTGACCCGATCAGTCTTTCTAGAACATTAACCCATTATTTATATAATGGACTTTAGTCATAAGCTAAACATGAAAATGGGCTAAAAATATACAGTGGCCCAAAATGAAAAAGAATTCAAATACAACTAAAAGCTAATTAAATAAACTTTACAAAAGGATCAATGTTTATGTTTAGGCTTAGATGCTAAGTAATCCATCAGCTCAACATATTTTCCCTTGGTTGTTGGAAGATATTGCTTAAGATTAATCCTTCTATATGTATGCTGAATTTAACCAACCTTAGCTTATTACCTAGCCGATACTTTCTTCTGTAATCCATAGATCAACTCTTCCTTAATTAGGAATTAAAAAAGAGAAGAGAAGAAATAGTCAAAAAACACTTTGCTTTCTTTAGCAAACAGAAAGGAAGGTTTTGACTAGACACATGAACAGCTTAGTTTCGTACAAGCTTAGGGTTGACATTCTTTTCAAGTCTTTGCTTATTTTTGCACGCAACGCCTTAGCAGAAGATACAACTTGGAATATAAAAACCAAACCAAAAGTGGGCACTATTTGTTCTTTAACATCATATTTTAACGGACTTCAATGACTTAACAAACCTTTGATCTATACAACGCCATGACTAGATATTGATACAGCAAGATTTTGAATTTGTTATTTCAAGCATAGTTAGTGGAACTTCTTAGAAAATCTTCCAATTTGTTACCTGTAAGTACTAAAAAAAATTTAACAAGAAAAGAAAAAGTTTTCTCTTCTTCAGTGATTTTCAGGGCCTAAATCATCTGAGTTTGATATGTGAAATTTTTTGGATTACTAATAATAACACACACTTTTTGTCATGTTCAGGGGCAGAGCTAGCATAGGAATTGTGGGTTCAGCCGAACTCAGTAACTTTGGTTTAAACCCTGTATTTATCTTTAAAAATTCATTGAATATGTATATATTATAAATTTTAAACCCAATAACATAAACTAACTAGAATTCGGAACCCACAAACTTAGAATTCCAGCACCGCCTCTTGTCATGTTAACTAATTAGTTTAGTTAGCAAGATCAACTGCTTTCATTAAAATTGAGACGGTGACCCAAACTAAGTTATCCAAGATTCTTGGTCAGTTTAGCTTAGAAAAGATTTTGATACATTTTTTTTTTCCAAAAATCAAAATATAAAGTAATTTAAGTATCTGAAACTCAAACCAATCAAAAATAGTTTCTGAAACCAAAATCAAAAGCAAGTTTTCACTCACCAATATATCACTTCCAAAATTCAATCCGAAAACACAACTAATTGCCCCCAAATTTATATTTCAAAAAATTAAGACAAAACCAAATCCAAAGTTTAGAGTTTTGATCAAATGTTGCGAGGTTGACTTTTGGAACCCGAATGCAGCCATGCATTGAGGAACAAGGCATGTTAGCACAGCCAAGTGGCGATGTATGCATGCTAGATTCAAGGGTGCCAAAACCATATATTATACATTAATAGGTAATTTCACTCTCAAGTTTTACCCTAACATACAAGACCATTATAAAAAACATGCATGCCAAGATCATATCACTATACCATTGAGAATAATTTCCTTCATTAATCTTCCTAGTTCAATCTGCAGAAATGGCTCAAACCAGTTTCTGCCTTCTCGCCGCCGTCCTCCTCCTCCTTCTGGTGGTTTTGGCCGAGGGTGGACCTCCTAAGCCTATGAAAGTGAAATGCCAAGACAGGAAATTCCCTAGTTGTTATCACAAAGACCTTTTCTGCCCTGTCACTTGCCCACGTACATGTATAGCTGACTGTGACTCATGTCAGCCTGTTTGTGTTGCACCACCACTTCCACCACCAAAACCTCGTTCACCTAAGAAAGTGAAATGCCAAGACAAGAAATTCCCAAGTTGTTATCACAAAAGCTTTGCCTGCCCTATCAATTGTCCGCGTACATGTGTAGCTGATTGTGTCTCATGTCAACCTGTTTGTCCTGTACTTCCAACACCACTTCCACCACTATCTCCTCCATTCACTCCCTCTCCTCCTCTTACCCCTAATTACTCACCACCACCTCCACCACTAGCTCCACCATTGACTCCGTCGCCTCCTTCTACCCCTAACTCACCACCACCACCAGATCAAGCTGCAGGTGGAAAGAGAGTTTACTGCAAGAATAAGTTGTACCCTCAGTGCTACCGTCAGGAGTATCAATGTCCAAGTGCTTGTCCGGATACTTGTGAAGTTGATTGTGTCACTTGCAGCCCTGTTTGCAGTAAGATCCTCTTAAATCTATTAACAATTTCTTTTGTATACGTATTAAATGGTAGCACTTTCGTAATAAACTAATTTATTCTTTCTTCACCATGCATACATGCATGGTCGACTTTCTGCTCATTAATTAATATATATTGATATATATATATGACAAAGATTTTTTTACACTATCAATATAATTTAACCTGTTATATATATCAAGTTAATTACCATGTTTATCATTTTACCAATTGATACGAAATTTACCTTTATACTTTATAAGCAACTTATTAATTGTGTAAATATTTTGTACACCCATCAGTGCATAGAAACATATACTAATACTAGTGGTTGGGCATATAGCATCCTGAACAATTTTAAGTGGTTTAGGTGTAATTGATATATGTTTCACTGTGATAACTAACACCATTCAAACATTTTCTTTTACATAGATAGAATAGAACAGAAATATGAGTTCAAATAAGAAAATTTATGAGGAAATGCATGCGAATATGTGCTCCATATATCAGCTTGTTGACAAACATTACAATTAAATCTTGTAAGTAGTTAATAATATTTCTACTCTTTGGAGAATGTTAAGTAGAAGCGAGCCAACTGTACTATATATTGTTAGCAATGATTTCTAGCTCCGGAGGATATTAATAATTAGAAATGAGACATCTGTACATGACATTAACCTTGCATTTTGAACGTTATGGACAGATTGCAACAGGGCAGGTGCTGTTTGCCAAGATCCAAGATTTGTAGGCGCTGATGGACTTACATTCTACTTCCATGGCCAAAAAGATCATGATTTTTGCTTAGTGACCGATTCCAATCTTCACATCAATGCCCGTTTCATTGGTAGGAGAAACGAAAACATGAAGAGAGACTTCACTTGGGTACAATCTCTTGGTATTCTTTTCAACAACCATCAAATATTCATTGGTGCCAATAAAACATCAACCTGGAACGATGCAGTTGATCGCCTAGACTTAGCCTTCGATGGACAAGAAATCGTTCTCCCTGGTCGTGACGGAGCCAAGTGGGAATCAATGTCAGCTCAAGGGGTTTCCATTTCAAGGACTCGCGATACTAATTCTGTGGTGATTGAAGTGGAAGGGAATTTCCAGATAAAAGCTAGAGTGGTACCAATTACTGAAACAGATTCAAGAATTCATAATTATGGTATCACAGAGGAAAATTGCTTTGCCCATTTAGATTTGAGCTTCAAGTTTTACTCATTGAGTGGGAAGGTAAATGGAGTTTTGGGACAGACTTATGCGAGCAATTATGTGAGCAGGGTGAAAATGGGAAGTGAAATGCCTGTTTTGGGTGGGGAGAAAGAATTTTCCTCCTCGGATCTTTTCTCCACTGATTGTGCTGTTTCAAGATTCAGTGGCACTCAAATTGATGATAGCGCTACAGAAGAGTTTGATCAGTATGCTAGCTGACTTGAAGTGTGCAAGTGGTATGGATGAAAAAGGAGTTGTGTGCAAGAGATGAATAATAGGAGTATTGTCGTTAGCTTCATTATCCTTATGATGTCGCATAATTAATAATTTCATTGTTGTTGTGCAACCACAATTACTAAAGATACCAAATAATATTACATTATTTTAACGAAATTAAGGAGTATGATTATGATCTATTGTAATAAAGCTGCACTGAATTATATATGAGTGTAATAAAAGCAAAGTACTACTTGTTTAGAGGAAATGATCAAAATGGTCCCTAATGTATAGGGGTTGGACTATTTTGGTCCTTGATATATACCTCTTAATGGGAATAGTCCTTGGGGGTCGTTTGGTAGGAGGTATTAGAAAAAATAATGCAATCATTAGCTCTATGCATTATTAATACCTTGCTTGGTAGATTTTTTCAACATGTGTATAACTAATACTTGTATTAGTTATACATCATACTTGGTATTATCTTATGCATTAGTAATTCATAGAAAACCATGGCATTAGTAAATACCAAGACTATTAATGCATGCATTAGTATGTTTAAAGACAAAATTGTCCTTAAATTCCTTTAAAGCTAGAGAATATGGAGGGCATTTTTGTAAACAACTATTTTTGTAAAAAATTATGCAATGCATTATAATTTTGATATACCACACCAAACAGTAAATAAGAAATAATATATGCACAATTAATGTTTGCATTACTAACACATGCATTACTAATCCATGCATTACTAACACACCTAATTCCGCGTTATTCTTATACATCCTACCAAACCACCCCTAATGTATGCAAAATGTAGATGTTTTTGGTCTCATGCCCTAAAAGGCTAAAACTAACAGTTCCTCCTCATGTATCCGTTAAACTTAATGGATTCGTAGCACAAGAGTCCCCACCTTCGATTCCTAGAAAGTTGAGGATCAGATGGTACTCCATTTTTCTTGGACAAAACTCGATTCCCATGGCTGCAAAATACCGGGGATTTGCCAATATATGGGTTGGATATTTCAGTTCCCGATTTTGTTACTTGAAGAAGTTGGAAAATAGCTAAATTTGAGTTATAAATATTAGCATCCTCAACTTTTTTTGGGAACGGAAGGTTCCTCATTCCCAATTTTTGCTCACATGTTGAGCTTTTTCTTTATTATTATTACTAGTATTAGTACCCGCGCGGATGCACGTAGGGGTGTGCATTCGAATCGGTTTATCGATAAATCGAATCGATTATTTGTTATCGGTTTATCGATTTATCGATTTCGATTTCGAAATTTTCCTTATCGAGTTATCGATTTCAATTTCGATTTTGTCCTCTTCGGTTATCGGTTTATTGATAAACCGATAAAATATACTAAAAACACAATTTTTATACAGATAAGGGGGAATGATTTTATACCGTTGGAGTGTTGGTGGCATACATATGATCCCTTACTTTAGTTTCGTTGCATGTGCTTGTTGACACAATTTTTATGTTATAAACGGTGTTCGTCTTATTTTAGCTTCTTTTTGTCCATATTAGTTAGGTGTGTTTATAGCGATATACTTTCCGTAAAATCCCGCAAATTTTCTTATTGGTGTAATCGATAACCGAATCGATAAGCCTTAAAAATCGATAAATCGAAATCGAAAAAGTCGAAACCTTATTGAAACGATAACGATAAGCATATGTACAAATCAATAATCGATAAGTAATTATCGATAAGGGTCAAAATCGAATGCACACCCCTAGATGCGCAGACACTAATCATGTCAAATATTTAAATTATTTAGATTGTATGTAAATAATCTTAAAATTTACATTTTCTCAGTAAATATAGATAATCATTGGATATTAAGTACATGAAAATTTCTTTCCTTTGTTGAATTTGGGACCTTGTGGGTGCCCATGAAGCTTGTAATACTTATCAATCAAGTGCCCAGACTTCTTGCAGTATCTACAGAATAGGGAAGCTTTAGTCTGGTCAAAGTTAACTCTTTGTGTATGCTGCCTGAGAGGATGAGGAATAGGAACTGCAGCTTGATTCAACCCAAAGGGAAATCCAGGATTGTTGTTTGCATTAAAATTGAAGGACATAGAATCAGGATTGAATTGGGAAATCGATTGGACTTGTCTTTGTTCTCATCATTGAGGAGGATATTGTAGGCACTGTCAAGACTATGAGGAGGTTGCATCATAAGCAAGTTGTTTCTTACCCCCATATATGTCTCATTTAGCCCCATGAGGAATTGAAATAACCTATTCTCTTCATCCTCCTATATAATGCCAGGTTTGGCAGCACAAGTGTACCTTTGACCATGATTAGTACATACTACACCCAATTCATCCCATAACCCTTTCAGTTTATTAAAATATGATGCTATGTCTAGAGGACCTTGAGAAGTATGGGCAAGTTCTCTTTTAAGCTCAAAAATTTTGGTCCTATTAGATGTACCATATCTGGATTGCAACTGTGCCCATATACTCTGTGCAGTTTCAGAGTACTGTACACTCTCAGCTATCTCAGGAGATAGAGAGGAAGTCAACCAGGACATCACCACGTTATTACACCTGTCCCATAGTTTTTGTTCAACCACAGTGGTACTTGGTCAGGGACAAGTACCATCAACAAAGGTTATTTTGTTCTTAGCTGATAAAGCCACTATCATCTTCCTTTTCGCTCATGTCACTACTGGTGCTCAGCTCAGCCCCTCTGAGGGGCACACATCTGACCTTGTTGGAAATTTCAGTGAGAGTCATTAGTCTATTCCAAATATGGATGGTCAAGGGTCTGTGATTCCAGGTCTGAGCAGACAACAATATGATCAACTGATAACATTGCTACGACATACTCAGTTGGGAGATTCCAGTGCTCAGCCTCCTAATCTCATGTGTTCTGCCAATTTTGCTGGTACTCTACTAACTGAGAGTCCTGTTTCTGATTCCAAACTGTGTATGCTCACTCAAATTAACTCTATCACTTGGATAATAGATTCAGGAGCTTCTGACCACATGACATCTAATAAAAACTTACTCTTTAATATTACACCCTTAGCCATACCTTATCTTGTAACCCTTCCTAATGGATACAAAGTGAAAGTAACTTCTACAGGATCTTTTGCTTTAACTCCATTCATCACTCTTCATAATGTGTTGTTTGTTCCTTCTTTTCAACACAACTTAATCTCTGTCCATAAACGGATAAAACAGTTGCATTGTATAGTCTTGTTTACTGCAACTTCCTGTTTTCTGCACATGTTACAGACCCATTCTCTCAAGATGCCTCTGGATCTTGGTAAAGAGGAGGCTGGTCTGTACAAGCTTACTTGGGTGCCACCTTCACATTCTTCTTCTACTTCTTGCAGATCTGTTTCTGTGTGTTCTTTGTCTGATTCATGTAAACCTGCTTTTTCTCCTAATTCTGAGACTGTTATTTTGTCTTCAAATGTTAATACTTCCATTTGTAATAATGCTGATTTAAGTGACATGAATTTCATTTGGCATTTAAGACTTGCCCACATTCCTTTTGCAAACATGAAACACATTTCTGATTTGTCATCTTCTCTTGCTCCTAAACAATCATTTCCTTGTTCTATTTGTCCCATGGCCAGACAAACTAGACTTCCCTTCCCTGATAGCTCCATCAGTACAACCAAACCCTTTCAACTAATTCACATTGACACTTGGGGACCTTACCACACACCAACCTCTTCTGGTTCAAGATATTTCCTTACATTAGTTGATGATTTTTCTAGGGCTACTTGGACACATCTACTGGGCTCTAAGAGTAATGCTTTTTCCATGATTAAATCTTTCTTGGCAATGGTTAAGACTCAATTTAATGCTAATGTCCAAACTATTAGAAGTGACAATGCCTTGGAGTTAGGTTCTAGTATTGTTGGTTCTTCCTTCTTCAGTCAACAGGGTATTATCTATCAAACTACCTGCCCCCACACTCCTCAACAAAATGGTGTAGTTGAAAGAAAACATAGAACACTTCTTGAGGCCTGTAGAGCTTTACTTTTCCAGTCCAAGTTGCCTGTATCTTTTTGGGGGGACTGTCTATTGACTGCTACATACTTACTCTATAGGATTCCATCTAGTTTACTCCAAAATAAATCCCCTTATGAAGTGTTGTATGGTAAAACTCCTAATTACTCACATTTGAGAGCATTTGGTTGCCTTGCCTATCCTACTGTGCCTATTCCACAAAGAGACAAGCTCAAACCTAGAGCAATTTCATGTGTTTTCTGGGCTATCCTTTTGCCAAAAAGGGTTACAAGTTGTATGATCTAGCTTCTAAGAAATGTTTTGTCTCCAGGGATGTTGTGTTTCACGAAAAATGTTTTCCTTTTACCACATCTTCTAACAGTACAACTATTTCTACTATTTTTCCTTTTCCACCTCCTATATTTCCATCTTCTGATGATCAGGATCCTAGGACACACACCTCTATCCCTGCCAGTCCTTCTGTTCCTTCCCCTGTTTCTAACTCACTTCCTCCTGAACCTGTCCCTTCTACTTCTACTCTAAACTTTGATCCTGATATTCCTCCTCTCCTTCCTCACAACCTGATGTTAGGAGATCTGCTAGACATCACAACACTCCTTCTTACCTTAAGGACTATGTGTGCCAGCTTCTTTCTTTTTCTGGATCCACTTCTTCTACTTCTCCTTTGGAATCTGAACCTCTCTATTACTCTCAAGCTGCTTTAGTTCTAGCTTGGCAGGATGCCATGAGAAAGGAGTTTGATGCATTGGATGCCAATCATACTTGCGACATTGTTCCTCTTCCTCCTGGTAAAAAACGTAGAGGTTGCAAGTGGGTCTACAAAATAAAATACAGGGCTGATGGGAGTGTTTAAAGATATAAAGCTAGGCTTGTCATTAGAGGGGATGTTCAGGATGAAGGGGTTGATTTCACAGAAACATTTTCTCCTGTTATTAAGATGTCTACTATCAAATGTCTAATTGCTGTAGCTGTTAAGAAACATTGGGATCTCTTTCAACTAGATATCAACAATGTTTTTTTTGCATGGTGATCTAGATAAGGAGGTATATATGAAGCTACCTCAAGGTTTGAGTGTTTCTGATGTTACTACTCCCTCTCTTTTTGCCCCTCTTGTGTGCAAATTGAAGAAGTCTCTTTATGGGTTAAGGCAGGCCTGAAGGCAATGGTATGCCAAGCTATCTCAAGTCATGTACTCTA